TTCACCTCCAAATCCCAATTCATCGAGAAACTATGTGGATGACACTCTATTTAATGGACCAAGGAATCTAATGAACAATGGACAATGGACTGGATATCATCCGCAACCACATTCACAACCACAACCATATCCTCAATCACAACCACAACCATATCCCCAACCACAATCACAGCCCCATCCTCAACAACAACCCCAACCATATTCTCAACCACATCCCCAACCATATCCACAACCATATCCAGAACCACGATTATATCAACCACAATATCAAGAATCACAATCACAATTCCAAAATCAACATTTCAGACATTAATAGTTTAATATAAGGATTTAATTAATTAATAATCTTCTCCCAAAAATTGTCGTATTTGTACAGTATATTTTCCTTTTTCACACTTACAAATTTTTATGTCGAAGTATTATTTACTTGCATTATATATATGTATGTAATTGTAATTTATTATTTAATTATTTCGTTTCACACATACAAACGGAAAAAGGGTGGGCATTTTTTTTTTTTTTTTTTTTTAAAAAAAAAAAAAAAAATAAAAAAAAAATAATTTAATAATTTGTACGATTTTAAATACATTATAGAATTGAAAAAAAATATATATTAAATATTGGAAATTATTAGTAGTGTCATAAAAGATTTGCTAATAAAATAGACGACTTTTTTTATTATAATTGTAGTTTTTTTCAAATTATGCTTCTCATCATCCAAATATAATTCACATTTTGGTTATATGAACATTTATTCCTTTGGAGAATAGATAATCGAATATGAGTGCTTTGGTTGTCGACCTGGAAGACCTTTCAATTAACGCATTTATTATTGTCATTAGGAATAATGTGTTGATATAATTTTGGATCTAAATTCAATTTATGAAAATATATGTTCTGTACAAGTATATTTCTGAATGGGTATTAAAATCAAGTTACGAATAACGTCGTTTTAATAGCAAACCTCCCATATGCCAACTATTAAATTTACTCAAATTCGGAAATTTACAGTGATTTGAATTGTTGCGAAAAAAAAAAAAAATTTTTTCATTCTTAATAATCATCTAAACCCGAAAAATCTTTAAAAAAAGTTCGTCGATACAAATCACTCGAAAATTATTAGAGTTAGTGAAGCTTAATTTAGATCAATCAGTAATAACCAATGAGATATTGATATCAAAGAAAACAAAGGTTTTTGACCGAAATATTCTTGGCCAATGCTAAGGTATAGTTGAAAATAATTAAAAAGCTGCAAATCTTAATTCTTTAATTAAGGTTAAGTTATAATAGATCTTAAAAATTTTTTATTGATTTTTCAATTAAAGCATTACATTAATTAAAAGTGTTTTTAAAATTACGGTATTAAAGCCTTTTTTTTTTTTTTTTCAAAATTGATAAATCTTAAAATAAATAAAGTATTCATATAGTTTAATTCAAAATAATTAAATAATTACAATTCTTTGATTTTTAAATAATGAGGCCTTTTTGAAATCTGCAAAATTAAGATTTTTACCTTGCACATAAAATTTCAAGTAATTTGGAAAAAAAATCAATTTTGTTCTAATATCCAAACAGTAAAGATGAATTAAAACAATAAACGCTGACCCTTTGCAAAGAAACTAATACCGCGAAGTGCAAAAGATTAAATAGCTAAAGTGGGAAATGCGTCTATCAGTCACATGTTCATAATTTTTGAAATTTTCTGGTTAAATAATCGTAGCAAGAATCTCTCATTCTGCTAAATGTCAATACAATCAATTTTTTTTTTAAAAAAAAAAAAAAAAAAATATTTTGCGTAATATTGATCAAATTAACTTTTTATAACATTAGCACGAGAGAATTTTCATCAGAAATTCCACGTAAGACTTGTTATCTGGACAAATTATTCAATGCGTTCACATATTGGGAATTATGATTAATTTATGATATTTTTTTTTTTTGGAAACAGAAAGTCATTCTCTCTTAACAGCATTAATTTATTAATAAAAGTTTGTTAAAAATAGCTTTTTATTCATGAGATGCATGCAATTGTTTAGAAACGACTATAACAGAATTACAAAATGTCGACTAATCACGTATAATTTTACATAACATATTTTTGCACGCATGAATACCAGCTACAGGTCAAACTACCCAGGATTGGTGGTCCTCATCTTTGAGGTAAACGTTGTGAAATATATAGTCTTGTATTAGTACCTGTAGCAGCTCGGTAACAGTCATAAATATTAAGAGATCCTAGCATGACATTTTGTTTGAAAAGATCATGATTTGTAGGTATGCTGATTCTGACATTTGCATTCATATTTTCTCACCATATAAATCGTAAAGAAATCAATAACAGCGTGATACTAATGATCAATCAAGGAACGTCAACATGTAGTCGCTCTTCCCGTGGCCATTGAAGCTTTTGAAAAACGAGGATACCGTTATTGAGCTACAAAAACCATTTATCAAATGAAGTAAGAATATCTCTTCAAAAAATTACATGTGATCTGATGAATAACAACGTTTCTTCCAATTCTTTATCATTTCCATTCATAAAATGCTATCATTGAAAGTTTTCCCCCAATGAGGGTTACGGTACGTTTCGCCGAAACCCGTTCCGCCGAAACCCCCTTTGCCGAAGCCATTTCACCAAAAGGACATTTTGCCGAATGTCCATTTCGTCGAATGGACCTTTCACCGAAAAGAAGTTTCGCCGAATGAACATTTCACCGAGAGGACGCTTCGCCGAAATGAAGTTTTGCCGAATCCGTTTTACCGAATGGACACTTCTCAGAATCCGTTTCACCGAAAGGACATTTCGCCGAAAACGAAAATAATTCGCTGTTGGTTGTTAGCAACTTGTCAGATTCACGAATCGGTTCGACCAATTTCGAGATCTTTAATAGCTCACAATATTTCGTTATTTGTGGAGTTTGTTATTGAAATATTTATTATCATTATCAGGGCCTGTTGGAAGAATGTGCAATATGATAGCGCAGAAAGAATGATGCGACAGCCATAAGTCATGCAAAATATAAAGCAATGCATGGCGTACAATCGTTAAAACTATTTTATGTTGATGTTCTATCAGGGAAGTTATAAGGTTCGCCACTAAGCTTTACTATAGTCCATTGGAGAAAGTCTTAACCATTTCCTTACGAAGAATTGCAGCCATCCTCAACAAGGTTCAAATTTTTTCCTCGTAAATTGTTTCAAGCTCACTCACAATAAAAAAAACATTTCACAACATTGACTGAGGGACTAGACATGTAGTCGGAAACCAGAAACGCAATCAACACATTTCAGAACGAGTGTATTTATTGTCCCGAATCATTCTTGTCATTAAAATCATTTTAATACAAATATGATTAACAATTCAAAACCTTGAAATGTGGATGAAATGATTTCATATTGTTGAATAGAGAATGAAATATATGTTGGGTTCTAAATTATATTTTCTAACGAAAAAAATTTTATTTATTTTTTTTTTTATTTTCTTCTTTTTGTTTAACAAAAACCGAAATCGAATTTAATTAAAATAAAAAAGTGTAAAAGTTCTAATAGATTATTTTTATTGATAAATTCGTATTCAACCACCCATAAACATTGACTCCGAGAACCTTACCAAGGATGAGTGATTATTATTATTATTATTATTTTATTTCGTGTTTAAAATAAAATTCTACATTAACTAAGGTTTCTATTGCTGATGAAGACGCTCCAGATGAATCTAGCAAAAGCCCAACTTCTGCTTTAACTCTATTAATAAATTTATTGTTAAGTCTCATTAAAAATAAAAAAACGAAATCAGTCCATATTACTCTTAATTTGTGGGTTAGTTCTTTGTTATTATATGAAAACACTTTGTAGTACAGTTAGTTAGTTTATTTTCAAAAATGAAGTTGGTAAAAGTGGTTGCGAAAAGTAATTTGTCCATTCTGTTAGCTTAAAAAAGTAAAAAATTTTTGATTAAAACTCAATCTGTGATAACTCTCCCTCTTTCACATGGAATAGTAAGTCGGTCTCTGACTATTTGCAACATTATCACCTGCGATTTGGTCCAACCCCACGAATGAGGCATAACTCCCATTTGAAGGCAGAGTTAACGTTAATTTTGTCATTTGTTAGTGAAAGTGGAAATTAGTAACTAAATTTAATTATGGCGCACGACTCACATATACAGGTCCATGGAATTCAATACAATTATCTTGCAAACGAGAACAACGTTCAATGATATCCATTTTTGACAATCATACTGTTTGTGAATTCACTATATAAACCTGCTCACTCCACATCGTGGTATTCCTAATGTAATGTTCAGGAAATCGTATAGCATTTGGATGTCTATTATATCATCGTTAAAGCCTACTTCCATAATAAGCACCGCGGAGAAATTTATCCATCCGTGCCAATTTGTTTGATGACCAATTACATGATTTAAATGGAGTTTGAACGCCCAGAAACGGAGGATTAATTCCTACCAATCTTGTCACACGAAATTTCTTTCTTGAAATATGAGCGTTTCTCGAAATCTTCCCAACTCACGTGTACTAATCACTATGTGCCACAACCAAATGTATGGTATTCTTATTTTCAAGCCTCACGTTGAAATACAAGAATTCCCATGCTATATTTTTTGTTGAAAAAACCTCTAAGCCAAGTATCGCAAGTGCGACTGGTTGAGCCATCTCATATGCCAAATTTCCAAAGTCGTATCATTTCATCAATTTCTCTTTATCGATTGCTTACATCGTAAAGATCAATTAATTGATTTGGAACTTTTCATTTCTTTCCATGGAACGAACATGTCCTCCTATATTTGATAGGCATCGCCGAAATGAGGTAGTGGTCCAACGTTTTCTTGGTATATCTTAACTGTATCCGAAATCTAAAAGAAGTTCTAAAGCAGGGTGTTTTGACCTTCTGATAATTTGATAGAGAGGTTTGCTGAAGTGTTTCTGACAGGTTAGGAATAATTTCAAACAAATTTCCGTAACTTAAGCGACCCACCGCATTTATTTATAAACTGCACGGAACGTCTCCCGCGTTGGCGAAGTTTCAATCTCGATCAGTTCGTTCGTTTCATCTGCGCCTAATAAGAACATTGGATGGCTGCTTTGTATTTGCTGGTTATTCATATGAATTGTGATAGTCTTTAAAATTATTCCTAACGTTAAACTCCTTTTCAAAACCAAATCTCATACATACATTTGTAAAATCTACGAAATGCATATGCCGATTGCCTTCCACAAAATAGCGATGCAAAGTCCTTATACCGAGCGTAACACTTCTATCGGATGCCGCCGATCCGTTACCATCAATGTCAACCAATTCCTAATGGATAACATACAGTACATGTTTATATCGGAGTAGCGATTTAAATAGCTGAAACACCGCATGTTCACGGCCGAGAAAATTGAAATCGTGCCCATAAAAGTAAACCGGTGTGTTTATATTGATATATCCATTTCAAGATGCTATCGATTGAGTTCCAAACAAGCTCATTCTCGATAGATTGATGACTATATCAAATATTACCCAATATAAGTAAGTATCATAAAATCTCCTCTCGATAAAGTATTCTATCCTAATTAATAATAATATCTTAATTAATACGATTATTCAGCAAAAACATGAAAATCGTAAAAAATTTGGGCATTTTTTATTAGATTTTTGTCGTATAGTTCTTAAAGTTAGTAAGTCTTCGATATCACTCATTTCGGATTTAAACTTTTGTGGGCCGATTGACTAAATTTATCCGAAATAAAAAAAGTAACATTTTGTAAATTAGTTAGTTCAATCAAACTAAAGCAATAAAGTAAGCCCGATAAATGTTTTATTTTTATTTATATTTAAATTAAAAAGCTTAAATTCACGTTCTGTCCGGTGTATTTAAAATCAAAAACTTTTATTAATTTATTAACTTCTAACTAAAAAGAACGGAAAATTACAACGAGTTAAAGAATGTGCTAATGAATTTGAAGAGTCATATTATTTATGAAAACATTGCAAATAAATAGACTACAGGAAACTAGAGGTTACTGAACGAAAATCATACTAATTTTTTTAATGATATATTATACAAAAGTCAGTACACGTGACAAAGGAAAATTTTACTAATTATTTAAATTTCTTAACAATAAATTTTTTACGAATATAGCATACTCTTAAAGCTTACTGATAAAACTCTCTACAAATTAAACTTTGAATATTCCATATCGGTTGAATATCATTGGAATATTCGGTAGTGAGCGGTGAATCTTGAATTGGCCCATACTTGGCGACAATATTGTGTCCTGCGTCCAATGGCCATGGGAAGCGCATAACCGTTCTTATTACCGATAAGAAATTTTTGTGATTGTGGCGAAGCAATATTTGGATTATACGGTTCCAAGGTAAGTTCAGAATTTTGTTTGTAGGTGACGGCGAAAAATTCATGTCCATCTTTGTTTATGTTAAATGATGTTGAATTCATTGTCATTCCTCTTCTTTTAATATCCAGGATTGGTTTTCCTCACCTCACGTGCGTAGCGTAATTTTATTAGTTACGTTGCTTGCTGTCCAAAAAAGTTTTGCATTTCCGATTGCTTGATTGAGAACTGCTCTAGACATGTTCTAAAAAAATCATAGTTAAACAAGAAGTTTATTAATGCATAAAAAAATAATTACAAGAATTTAGATAAAAATTTTTACATATTTTTTTTATTTTTGAGCAACGTTGAGGTTTTTTCTTTTTTAATGAGGAATTCCCTTAAATTATGTCAAAGGATGTTGGTTGATATCTGATTCTTTAAGCCTCTAGGTAGATCAAGTCGATTGGCGTGTGAAACATTATTGCACCAAATTTCCAAATTTGAATTCCTGAATAAAAAACTCATTTTCATCTGTTTCAATGAGTCTTCTCAAAGGATTACGAACAATCAAATTTACACTTGGCATAAAAAAGAAATTGTTTAACGAGACACAATATACAATCAATAATCCCTGTTAATCTCTGCAGGATTATTTTTTATTGTGCATCAAATAAGGAAGTGGTCCAAGCCTTTTTTACTTATCCAAGTCCAAGCGTTACCTGTCATGTTTTTTTCTTGTACTACGTTACCTGAACAATTCAACCTGTTCCATAATACTTATGTAGCATGGAATCGGATCATGAATATTCAGAACCTGGTAAAAATCTAACTGTCATTTGTTACAGAGGAATAACATGACGTTTTAATTAATCCTAAAAATAGACTCTGTACATATTTATAGTATAACATTATTATAATTTATCAAAATCAAATTATCTTTAATATTTACTAGTAACAATATTTTGTAAATAACGCCGAAATTAATTTATTTTTTAGGTTTAAATTAGCTCCGATTAAATTCTATTAATCATATAGATCTATTACAATGGTAAAAAGTAAATTATATATGAATAACTTAATATATGAGTATAAATGTATGAATACAGTCATCCTTCATTATAGTAAGAAAAAAGAGTTTATATCCACATACAAGTCATAAAATCTCCTTTCGATAAAGTATTTTATCTAGTTAATCATACCTTGATTATACGAGTATTCGGCGGCAGCATGAAAAAGTACATAAATTTGGGCATTTTTTAATAGATTTTTGTAGTATAATTCTTTCATTTTAATAAATCGATTTTCACGTCGTACTA